ATGTTAGTTTTATTAATCATTTGTATTTTTGTCTGATTGATTTTTTTATTCCATTACTTTAGGTATGTTAGTTTTATTAATCATTTGTATTTTTGCCTGATTGATTTTTTTTAATTCAGTACTTTAGGTATGTTAGTTTTATTAATCATTTGTATTTTTGCCAGATTGATTTTTTTTATTCCATTACTTTAGGTATGTTAGTTTTATTAATCATTTGTATTTTTGCCTGATTGATTTTTTATTTCAATACTTTAGGTATGTTAGTTTTATTAATCGTTTTTGTCTGATTGTTTTTTTATTCCATTACTTTAGGTATACAACCCCCTACTCCTTCTGAATGTGCAGCTATATGTTCTTATCTTGGTAGTTGCCGTCTTCTACTTGTTGAAGATGGCCAGAAAGATATTTTACAATGTGTTAGGTTAAATATGAGTGTAGATGATGTCAATTATGCCTTACAAAATTGAAAAGAATATTTTTTGTAAGTGAAATATATTATTACAAGAAAGTTTTGAAAAGTGAGAAGCATTTTAAATACTTTAGTTTTTTGTTTTGTTTTTTTCAATTTGTTTACTTAATCTTGAATCAGACAAAATGAGCTTTTATATCATCAAGGTTTTAGTAGTTTAAACATTGCTTTAAAGCAACATTTTATCTTAACTGATTGGGTGTTATAAGCTCTAACATTTGACTCAATGTATTTATCCATCATCTATATTTTAAATTTTGAAGATGTCGTTTTAAATTTCATTAAACATCAAGAATTATTTTTAATTTGCATTTAATACATTTTACAAAAGAACAGTTATATTGAAAACATTTGATCATTGAAATGTATATGTGAGTGCACTTTTTTTATATTCAATCATTAGTTAAAAAGTTAAGTCATGTTATTTTTCAACTTTTATTTTCAAATTTCAATTGCAGATACTTGTTAGTTTATATATTTAGTCCTCCAAGGTAAACAAAGAAGTAACAATACTCAAATTTTATAGGGACAACATCCACTAGATGAGCACATAAAATCAAGATCATATTTGTTTCTTTTTCAAAAACTTTGAATAGATATTAGCAGTTTTTGAATGAATAAATTTCACAAAATGTAATAAAAAATTCATTAGTCATGAAATATTTCTAAGATTTTTATTGGCTTTACATTCCTTAGAAAACAAGTGACTGCCAAGTTCTGGAGTGACATAGTAGCGAGGTGTGATTAAACTTGGCATATTATATCATATAGCTTGTTTTCATAGTTAAATTGAGGCAGTGATCTTATAACAAGAACTAACACACAAGTCTTTTTTTATGATAAAGTTTCCAACACTTTATCATGTCTAAAGTTTTAATTGTCTAGTGTGACTAAATTATAAAAAAAAAATGAAATTTTATTGTATCAAGAATCCAAGGCTTTTAAGTATGACAGTACCACTTAATATACACCTGGACCTGGGTTTTTATATGTGTGTATGTAAAGCTATAATCCCCAAAGTTTATAATACATAAAACTACAAAAAAGTAATATGATAGCTATGAATGCTTGGATCATTTTGGACTTTATATGCTCAATTGGGAACAAGATTTTGTGTCCAGTGAATGACACGAATCACGAAAGAAACATATATTGCTAGGACTAAGAGTTATCGTTCTTTTATTCCAGAACTCATCCCTGCTTATAAGCTTGGGCCGGCACGAGCTCTAACATTATTCAAATACCTAAACTATTTTAGGTTACTTTATTGGTGATAGAAATGGACTTAAAAACCCCATTAATGTTGGTACAGCCAATGGAAGGGACATTAGGCCTCAACGTCACAGATTTTCCATTCAATTTTACCTTTGGAGAAATTGAAAATACATGTATGTAGGCCTCCTTTGGCCAGGTTTGACCATGGATGATCATCTGTCCATTGTTAGCTCATGTTGATCGCTCGTCTAGAGCAGCGTCTCTTGAGACTAAGGAGACAGACACGAGAGTGACAGTCCCAGTTGCAGAGGTCACATATGTGCGTTGACGCTGGTCTGTTGGCCGCCTGTTCCTTTTGATTTGCTCACTTCTCTTCTGCCGCCACCGTCAATTCCTCTTCACCAATCTTCAGCTGTTTACGGAGAGTGTTTCTCCAGTCGGTGCAATTGGCGGCGATGTCCTCCCAAGTTTCGGTGTTGATGTTGAGCACCTTCATGTCTGTTTTGCAAATATCCTTGTATCTCAGCTGCGGGCGGCCGATGCCTCTCTGTCCTTCGGCAAGCTCTCCGTAGAAGATGACTTTTGGGAATCGGCCATCCTTCATACGGCGCACATGGCCTATCCAGTGCAACTGGCGCTGTCGTAACAGAGTGTACATGGTAGATTGGTTCGTACGAGACAAGACATCAATGTTAGTTACCTGTAAGCCGAGCAAGCACCGTGGTTCCCTTTCCAATCTTCCTGTCGATTTCAGCATCAAGCGAGAGGCTGTCAGTAATGGTAGAGCCAAGGTAGATTTATTGAAAATAAACTTGGTCCAGTGTATAATATGCAATAATGATTTAGGTACAAGCTCTTAACTTTATTGAAAGACCTAAGCTATTTGATTATACTTTATTGGTGATTGAAAAGGACTTTAAAAAACTGTTACGACAGCAGAAGTCACGTGACGCTAGTAACACGTCATGATATTCTAGAAGGATCATGTCTGTTCGTGGCAACTCTGGTCCTTTCTACGTGCCCTTTATTCTTGTATATAAGTGCGCCAGATAAAGCGAATTAATTAATTGGAATAGAATTGCAGACAGACAGAGACGGACAATTGAGCCAAGCGAGGTAGTGACCGTAAGTAAAGTGCGTGAATCGTTGTGAATTATAGTGTGTGTTTAAGTTAAAGTGTCTGTGGAAATTAAGTATATTGCAAAGTTGAGTTGAGAAAGAATAAACTAGTTATATTTAAGAAAGGACTTGTATCACCGAAGTTTCTCGGAAAAAATGTCTACAGAAAATTAACAAACGACCAGAAACGTAATAAATTGGTGTCAGAGAGTGGGATGAAAAAAAAAGAAGGAGAACATGGAAACCAGAGGTGCCAAATCAAACTACAGCTTAGCAGATTTGATGGCGGCAATACAAGAACAGCAAAAGAAACAAGAAGAACGAGAAAAGAAACAAGAAGAGAGATTACAACAGTTGTTGGAGGAAAAAAAAAGAAACAAGAAGAACAAGAAAAGAAACAAGAAGAGAGATTACAGCAGTGGCAAGAAAACCTGCAACAATAGCAGCTCGAACAGTAAAATAAACAAGAGAGATTACAGCAGTTGTTGGAGGAAAAAAGAAAAGAAACAAGAAGAGAGATTACAGCAGTTGTTGGAGGAGAAA